GCTAAAAATAAACTAATAATAATTCGATAAAAATAAGTAAAAATAAGACTAAGTTATCTATTCTACCACAATACCTTGTTATATACAAATTAAAATAAAGAAATAATGTTTATCTACTGGAGAAACCCTAAAAAAAAATATTTTAACTTGAAAATTTATAATTTTAATGTTTATTAAATTAACATATGAATTAATTTTTATAAGAAATAATACTTTTAATTAATTATAACTATATATATAATAAATAGATATTTTCAAAAATTATATTATATTAAAATTACTAAGTAACATATAATAAATACATAATTAAAAATTATATTTAATTAACTTATGGATTTATAGCTTAGTAATAAAGCTCCATAGGTTATCAGGTGAAGATTTAAGATTTAAACCTGTCTAATTATAAAAATTTATCATATTTTCTTCCTAATTAAATTGTATAAATATATAACTTCTGATCTTTTCTGTGATTCTGAGGCTGCAATAGATCACAAAAAAAAAAAGAATTGTATAAAAAAAGATATCTGACTTAATTTTGATTAAGCCTTACAATCTATTACACAATATAAACAATGTTATATTTAAATATACAAACTGGACTATACTTTATTTTAATTAATTCCAATTGCCAATTTCTTTATCTGTTAGTTACCTAAATAAGAAGTTTTGAAGTAAAGTACTGAATCAATACTACTTATATGAAAATATGATTATCATATAATAAAATAGAATATATAAGAGTTATACACTGCTTGATATTTATTCTTTAAATTTGGCAGCTTATATTAACTGGTCTGAATTTAAAGTGTTTATTAAAAAGATAAGGATCGATCCATAAGTAATGTTTTACAAATATTGCATTTATATAAATTCTTAAGGTATTATATTCTACTTGACCATTTGACTCTTAAATTTGATAGTATCCAACTAGTAATTAAACCTAGAATATTTACTAGAGAATATATACTTATATTAAAGGATTCTATTACTGTATATACTATATAAATAAAAAAGTGTAATGTGATAGGTAACTTATACTTAAGTAATTAATAGTATATGCATAAAATTATATGATTAAGTTCTATAGATTAGGTAATTTAAAACTAGTGATAGGATTTTTATTTCCTATAGTCTCCTGATATTATGAAAAAAGGTTATCAAGTAACAGGTTTCTGGATATTAGATGAATAAGTTGATAGATTAATATTTAATTGTAGTTATATATTACAAATAGATATTTAATATAATATACAAATGATATATATTAATAAAATTTGTATCTAATACTATTTAACTTTAAAAAAAAAAATAATAATTATAATTAATTCAAAATTATATTATTAATTAAATTTTCTTTTATAATAATAAAGAAATATATATAGTCATAACATAAAATATTATTTTTAATTCAATTTAATTATTTTTATATAAAGCCGAACCAATATTTTATAATCTGAATTTAAAATTATTAATTATTTTATTATTAATTTTTAAATTTTTAAAAAAATATATAAATAAAATTTATTGCTTTTATTTATATTATTTATTATTATTATTTTTTTTTTAACGTAGAAAGGCATTAAATGCAAGTCTTTATTAAATTGTATATATATAATATATGAGTTATATTAAACATTTTTTTATAAAATATTTCTCCAAATTAATATTAATCTATCTATGATTTTTAGTTCGTGTCCAACGAGACAGGTTACACTCTTAAAGTGGCCCACCTTATTGGCATCTCAGTTTGATCAACACTACTAGTAACAAGGGTAAGGAAAATCTTGTCTTACAAGTGAAAACCTTCCCAACAGTCTCCATTTTAGCTTAATGCCTTACTCTTTTCCAATGGGCCACCAATCTGGATTGCACCAACTTCTAGCAGGTTATAGGACTGTATGGGTATAGGATAGTCATTTTTGAAGCGATTAATCCTATATATCCTGGTTATATTCTTTCGTGCAACCTTGATAGACTAGGATTAACCTCTATATGGACAAACGGAATTGGTTAAGATGGAGTACAGCCCAGTCTGTACATCCAAATTTGACGTGATGTTTTGTGTAACATATTATGGGTTTAACCAGAATTAGATCAGAAGTCTTTTTTCATGCAATCCTTTCCTTATGTGGTCTGTTGCAACCTCGTAGCCACCGGAAAGGCCAGAAGTTTCACCTTTATGCAGCCTAATTAAGAAAGAATTGTAATAAATTTTTGTAATCAGGTGGATTTGAACCCTAAACCTTCACCTGGTGATCTATAGAGCTTTACCACTAAGTTATAGACCTATAGGTCTAAATTAAATTAAATTATTTTATTTATAATAATAATATTTTTATATAATCAACTTTACTTAATAATTTATAAATTTATTTAAATAAAATCAAGATAACAAAGTTATAATCTTTAACAAGACATTTAAAATATCATATAAAATATAAATAGAGTAATTGGTTATTACTATTATATTATTATTTTTAGAAATAAAAAAAAAATCAAAATCTTAAAAATAAATTAAAATATTATATTTTATAATATAATTTTTTATAAAATATTTTTATCTTTAATTGTTTTATTATTTTGAATAAATATTAATTATTTAATACTATTAGTATTATAATAATAAAAAACAGAAAGTTTGTTACTTGTATACAGACCTTGTTGTAGCATGTTATATCACAACTAAATAGGTTTACTTTATACTATTTAGCTATATGGTTTATATTATTACTAACATTTCTTTTTTCTTATATTGTAAAAAGAGATAATTGGATTTGGTTAATCTTTATTTATCAATTATTAAGATCACAGGCAAAATAAAAATATAATATTAAAAAAAAAAATACACAGGAGTTTATCATATAGATAAAGTTTTCAGTCATCAAATGAGCACATTTGTTACTTTTATTATTAGAAAAGTTAAATAAATTTATATATGTTTTAATTATTTTAATTATTTCAATTATTCTAATTATTTTTTTTATTCTGATTATTCTAATTATCCTTTTTATTCCAATTATTCTTATCATGATACCCAATATAGAATCACATAGAAACTCATACTCTTTTTCCTTATAACAGTATAGATTTATTTATTTGATATCAGTTAATATTAATAAATAGTTACAATAAATTTAAATAAATTTATTTATATTTTATGTAAAGATTTTTAATGTAATAGCTATAAGCTCTTTATTTAATAAAAATCTTGCATTTAATGCCTGATTGTGATTAAAAAAAATACAAATAAGAAAAATAAATACTATTGTATACTTTTTTGATCAAAATTATAAAATTTGATTAGAACTATAAATTTTGGAACAACTGCGCCACGATTTATACATAACTCTGACCAGAATTACAAAAATTTGAACCAAATATAACCGCACCCTATTATTAATATATGCCTTATAATTTTGTTAAAAAAACCTATTGAATCTATTTACTGTATTTAAATTGTAAAAATATTTATAAGTAATTTGATTATTTATTTATGTAGAAAAATTTTATAATAAAAAAATGACAGTATATTATATTTTATATTATTAAAATTAAAATTAAAATCTAAATCAGATAAATTATACTATTCGATTTTGAAAATACTAAATAATCAAAAAAAAAAATTTTTTTTAATTTTTGATAGAAAATATACATTATATTGATTAAATTAGAAAAAAATGCAGCTCATAAAATATATATAAACTTTTATAAGTACTATAGTAAGCCAACACGCACATGATGTATATAATTTCTTTTATTGAATGCTTTGTTAATGTTTAATTGCTTTATAAGTTAAATCTGATTAATTTGAACACCATATCTACTATCAACTATTTTCAATTAAACTTTCCCTTTCACGAAATATTAATCTTACTCCTAAAAATGATCATTCAACACACCTTTAACCTCTCATATATTTACTCCTTGTTCAGTATTAACTACTTTCCTAAAATGTGTGATAACCTCTTTGGGATCATCAGAATTAAAAATTGAACTTCCAGCTACAATTACATTTGCTCCTGCTTTAGCAGCCTCTTCTATTGTATCAGGTGCCAATCCTCCGTCAACTTCGATGTCAAGTCCAGGAAATCTCTTTCTTAACTCCATCACCTGTATTATATTAATTATCATAAATATGATAATGTATGCAATCATGTTCTAATTATTAAGTTGAGACAAATAGTTAATAAAAGTAGAAGTTATAGCTTACCTTTGGCATACAATCATGCATAAACTTTTGACCACCAAAACCAGGTTCAACAGTCATAATCAAACACATATCAATTTTATCCGCCAAAGGATAAATCAAATCGATTGGTGTTTTAGGTTTGACAGCAATTCCAACTTTCATTCCAGCTTTACGAATCTTGTCGATAATCACTAGTGGTTCCTCCGTTGCCTCTATATGGAAAGTGTATAGTGAAGCACCAGCTTTTGCAAAATCATCAATCCACTTTACGTGTAAAAGAATTAAAGAATTAATATTATAATATTTATAAACACATTGAACACACACAATTCATATTGCAGTTTAGTAGTAAGCAGACCTTTTCGGGGTTTGATACCATTAGATGACAATCTGAAAAAAATCTTATTTAGAATGAATGCTTGTTAAGTCGATAAAAAAAAAACTAGTTACCTAAAAATGAGTCTGTATGTCGACGTAAAGCTTTAATAACTGGTGCACCGATCGTAAGGTTAGGTACGAAATGCCTATTTTAATTGTGAAAAAAGTAAGTATTATAGATACATTCACAGTGAATACAGATCATTAATTATTTACCCGTCCATGATGTCTTTACGAAAGATACAAATTGAAGTAAATAATAAACATTAGTGCATTACTAAAAATCCGACATCAAATACAAATCAGTTACCCATATGCAGCCAGTCGGCACCATTTTTTACCATGCGCTCCGCTTCAGA